GCTATTATATAATTAGGATTTTGAGATATCAATATATGTGTGTACATACACATGGTGTACAAATAGCAATCGTCATTGAAATAAATAAAAAAAATCCAATTATTGAAAAAATCTACACGTAAGCTTATTCTCTTCTCTATAGAAATTATCTTTAAATTCAAGCGCTCTATTGCTCAAGTAATTCTTTTTGGACCCATATCAAAAATAAATTTTTTTTCTTAAGGACGATTGTCGTTATTTTAGGTTATAATACCATTTTTATACTTGCATTTTAACATACTAATAAAAATATATTCACACTTTTAACATACTATACTATGTTATCAGCTCGTATTAATCGGTTTTATAATAATCAAGCATAAATCACAATTTCGCGTCTGTTTTTGAATTTGTTACAAAAATTAACGTTAATCATGTTTTCTTTACTTAGTCCTGTTGCAAAGTTATCTGTATTACGTACTTTCAGACACGTCTTTTTTCAACTATTACATTATTCGATAAAAATTACGGCGCGTTTGACAAATTTAACTAATTTTTTGTCCCCAAATTTAAGTTTTGGGGACAAAATTTATTATCGATTTTTTAATATGGAACCCAAAAAAAAATTATTGGCGCTCCCGATCTATAATAACAATGCGTCTAACCCATCTTCCCACTCTTTGAAACATTTCATTAGACATATAAATTTATTATAACGACGCACCTTAACCTGACTATATTAGCCAAAATTACTATTTACGTATTACGTAGCAGTCAAATTTTTCAAATTTTGGGGCATTTTACAAATGCGCCGTAATGATACCTTATAAATTCGCAAAGTGTAGCCAAAGATAAGCTTAAGAAACGAGTGTTTCCTTCCAATATCAGCACTACTGTATCTAGTTTTGATCTAAACGATTTACAATTATTGAAAATAAGCTTTCAACCAACTCCATTTAAAAGTAACATCCTTCCTAATGTAGATGGTACGAACTATATTGTGTAAATGAATTTCTTTAATGAACCTAGTGTTTACAAATTGATTATTGTCTAGCCGATGGTTTTCCGGAAGAATACATTCTTCCAAATATCAGTAAGAAGGAACTCTTAGACAAAAACTTAATATCAAAAGCTTTAAAGAATTTACGTTCTGATAAAGGTATGGAGGAAGCTAAAACAGATGCACTGGTAATTAATCTACTAGTTCAAATTGTTGACTTACATCGTTATCCATTGAGAGTTAGGTAAGAAATCACGGAATTATAAGATATATCTGTTTGTAACAATAATTTTTAAAATTTTTTAAAATTTATATTATATCTAAATTTAGACGACACCCTATACATCGCAAGCGAAGTTTACATTATAACAAACCTGAATTTAAGTGAACCCAAACCAGGTTCATTTGATTGTCATAGAGGTCTGAGTGTGTTTTAATTGGTTGGAAGCCTTATTTTTGTAGGCTCAAATAATTTTTTTTAGCAGGATAGGCATATAAAAAATAGAAACCTTAACCCATCAAAAGGTTATGGGAGGCGCAATTGGTCGCAGAAATATTTGCATGTGCGAATGAAATAATGCACATCAAGCTGGTATACATTTTACAAGATAGTAATCTATAATGCATACTCGAAAGAATTTGATTATGGATTGCCACAGAAGAAGTTAATTACAATTAAAAGATGGCCAGAAGGTGTGCATCAAACAAGTGGTCTGGATGTTGTAGAACCAAGTGGAAGGCAAAATATATTGAAAGCATTTTTCAAAATTCGTAAACATCTTTTGCAATAGAGAAATTATTTGATCAATTTATATTTTTTTAGTACGTACATACAATTAATTTTAATAAAGCATTTATGATTTATATTTGTCATTTTAAGAACTTCCATGTGACTCATGTGCAATTGAAATATTCGCATAAGACAGCACATTTTTTGGTTACCTTACTACTTGTTTTGTAGCATATATTCAGGCATATACCCACTTATTGTAGAATATATATAATTTTTTTGGAGTGACTTGAAGTGCTTAACGAATTTACTAATTTACCCACTGCTCATTTTTCTTATATTAAGATCGGTTCAAACCGGTTTCAACATAAGAAAAATGTCCAAACTCTATATCTCATCTGATTGGACAAGAATTGATGATCCCGAATAAAAACTTTGAATAGTGCTTTGCAATAAAGTGTGACATCTGCAGATCATGATGTCATGTGAAATTACGTAAAATCAGCTGATTCTAGTAGATT